TATATAGTAGCATAACAACAATGCAAATGTTGAAAAAAAAGCATTCCAAATACTTGAAAAGATTACTAAGCTATTCTACAGGTTGTAATCCCTTTCCTACACTCCAGCTAACCAGCGTCCTGAATTTCATGCTTATTTTTCTTGTGCATATTTTTGCATTTGTGCAAGATGTGGATGTTTATTTAAAGACGGTTTTGTTCTGCATAAATTTTACATAAATTGTATCCTACAAGTAGGAGATTTTGTCTGCTGCTTTACAGCACGGCCCCTGACATCCGAAGACGTATTCAGACATCAGCTGACATCATGGCCATCCAGCCAGGCAGCGCTGCCATTTATCTAATACGCAGAAAAATATTTAATTTTTGGATTAGACCGTACATTTATTCAAGTCTCCTGCTAATGGACCTTTAGTTCTTTTTGCTTTTATTATACACGATGCTGCAATACACATATGTATCTTTGCCAGACATGTTACCTTTTACCAAATAATAAGTGCTTTTTGCAATTTAAAAAAAAAATTTATTTTTTGCTTTTCGCAATTTAAAAATGATCTTCAGGGCCGGGGATTTAGCTCAATGGTTCCGTCACCTGCCTCGAAAGTACAAGGACCTGAGTTCAATCCCCGGTGCCCCCCGCAAAAAAAATGATCTTCAGTGTTGTGCCAATTCACATATTCACAAGTAGAAAATAAATTATAAATTACCTTTTTATTTCTAGCCTGTAATCATACCTTGTTTTCCTGTATTAAATTTTTGCTCTTGATGACTATGAAATAATCTTCTACTCCATTGTTAACTCCCTGTCCGTTTCTCAATTTAAATATTTGATATTTATTACCCACTCAAATTGAGTACTTTCTTCCCATTGATAATGTTATGTTTGTTTTTTCTTATCTTATTGATGTATATAACTTATTATATTCCGGACACTGTATGTGTACTAAATCATGTAGTAGATGGACTGGAAAATGTGCGTGTGAAGCATTTTTAACTTTTTGATGGTAAACATTATTTAAATCGAGATATTCCTCAGTATCTTACGAATTTGTGCTTTTTCTCCCTTGTTCAATTCTTTTTTTTTGGATACTGGGGATTGAATTTGGGTCCTTGCGCTTGCAAGGAAGGCCACCGAACTGCTGAGCTAAATCCCCGGCCTGTTGTTCAATTCTTAATTGTTACAAAACTCTAAAAGTATTTCCCTTGTTTTCTTCCGAAGGTTTAATATTTTACTCTAAGATCTATAGTCTCCAGAATGAACTTAGGTGTATGATATCGCACTAATTAAAATACAGGGGAGGGGTGGAAAGAGCCTCTCTAGAGGGTCAGGCCAGTGAATACTCAGATACCCAGGAGGGCGGCACTTCTGGAGCTGGGACTTGGGGCTTTTACAGCCAACATCGCTGCACCACGTTTTCCAGAAAACACTGTTAATCTTGGTAACCCCCCCAAAAAAAGGTTTTCTATTCAAGAAAACTCTGGTATAAATATAAAGCTCGGCAAATGTGCACGGATGAAAATGGTAAAAACTGACTTCTAGGAAACAAAACATGCACAGGATTCTAAGTGGCTAACAGCACCGGCATCTCATTACTTCCGTCTCCAAGCCTTCGCTGGTTACTGAGCGCAGCTTCTCAGGAACTGTAATCTGCACGCGTAGTCTCTCCGAATCTGCAAGGTGCACAAGGTCACGTCAGGGCAAAGCCCAAAGTCCCCAATCCGTACCCCAAATGCCACCTTCAGGTCTTGCTGTCTTTCCCAAGGCCTCGCTTCTCATTTCTTTCTAGAAGCCCCAGGGGTCCTTTGTCTGTCCTTCCGTCAGTCCGTCCGTCTGCCGTCCGTCTGTCCGTCCGTCTGTCCGTCCGTCCGGGAACCTGGTGCGTCGCTTCAGGATCTGGGGCCTCCCTCCGGGCGCGGGCAGCGTCCAGCGTCCGGCGAGGACACCAAGCTCGGCGCAAACTCCTGCCCAGCCGC